TAGCACAGTTAAGGATGAAATAATCGCTTACTCACACAAATATAGAAATCGCGAGCTGATCACTCGAACTTGCTCGCGAGAAAAAACTTCAGAACAACTCTACCAGGGCCGCGATTAAAAGAAAAATTTCTTCTGCATTAATCAACAATAGATAAGACCTTCGACAATCACTGGCAATGGTCAGATGATTTGTATTTTGCCAACGCCTTCAGTTTCATGTCAAATATTTACTTGTCCGTTTCAGGACAGTTGTAAAAATTATTAAAATAATAAAAAAAAAGTTTTTGGCGGCGGGGGTTTAGCCCAAGGGGAGTTATCTTCGAACAAATGCGCGTTGCACTGTTTTGGTCTTGAGTAGTGTCAATTTTCAAAAACAGATGGCTCATGTGCACTCATTTCAACTACAAATTGTTCGTGGTTCGTGCAAGTAGCTGTCAAGTATTTGATTGCTGTACGAATAACCTAAGCATAACCTAAGTTTGTGAACCCGTATTGTTTCTAATAATTTAATTGTGTTTAAGTGAACATTTAAGTGAAATTTAATATGACAAAGTGTTTTTATAGTACCCAAAAAAATGTCAAGTGCGGGTTAAAATATTCAGCTTTTCCAATACCAGTTCCCGCAAAGGTATTTTTTATATAATAATTGCAGTAATTATTGTATATAATCAAGATATTTCAACAAGTTATTATATTGAATAGGTGGCTTGGGGGTACCTGCAAATTGCTGCAAAATGCACGAACAAGGCGCAGGAGTACTTTTGTCACCCAAAGAATGTATGACGCGTTCAAAACTTTATAATTTATAAACAAAGCAATAATTTAAGGAACAAATTGTAACAGAGTATAAATGATCTAAGAAGTGTTAAAATTTAAAAGGAAGAAAATTCACAGCCGAGGACATATTTCTTGCTTTAAATCTGTACAAATAGTCTCCAAAGGCCTACTATTTTTGTGACAAATATTTATTCTGCCATGTCCTCAACATTGAGAAAGTTGCATTCAGAGATACAATAGTATAGCAGTGATAATGAGTGTCTATTTAAAAACATTAGGTTGAGCTATTTCTCCTAAAAGTATTAGTACCAGATACTGGTGTTTTGATGTTTGATGAAATATCATCATCTTCAGAATTGTTATATGATTGGATTGAATCTCATATTGTTGATGTTGCAAAACAGTTATTTAGTATTGGTTTAAATGTTCATGAACGTAAGTTCATTGCTATATTTACTAAGATTATCTATTACATTAGTAAATGTAAACACTTATAAAGCGAGTCTATACCATACATAATATTTTAATGTATTTTGATTGAAGATTAGTATTATAATATTCTTCAAATAAAACTTGAGCAACATCCTAATATAATGTTTAAATTCAAGATATATCTGTTACCGACCTTGGGAATCAAAATATTGCTTTTATCTTTCAATTCATAAACAATTATATGTGCATAAAACATTATTCTGTTCATTGTAAACACTTTGTTGATCTTTGATGGCAAATTCAATGATAATGTTTTCATGATGAAACATGGTTAAATGTAATGTTATAAAATACTCATACAGAAACTATTCAAAGGTTTCGTTAAATGCAACTTTTCTATTAATTGATTAGATAGCAAAATAACTATTAAATGCAGAATTAATAAAGAACAATGTCTCGTAAATGAGTTTTAATCCTAGGAATTTGGTTTTCTCTCAATTTTGATATATATATATACATAGCTGGGCATTAACTCGTTAATCCGTTAATCGTTAATTAACGAAGTTAACATTTTGATTAACGGATTAACTTTTAAGTTAACTTTTAAAAATGTTAACGGACACGTTAACTTCCGTTAAAATGCCAGAAGTCCGTTAATCGTTAATCCAATGCCTACTATTTACCGCACGGCACCGCAAGATTTGGACCACTCGGTTTCGGTTGATATGGCTGGAAACGTATGACAGCAGTATAGTGGATGCAGTAAGAAAGTGCATGGAAAAAATGTAGAAGGTGCCTTACGGCAAAAAGCAGCGGAAAATTCGAAAGACAGAGGTAGTTTAAGTGACGGAGGGAGCAATGCGAGTAACAACGATGATGACGAGGAGGAAGACTTTTTCAATTCTGTCACTCAGCCTATAGAAAAACCAAAGACCTCCAACTTTTTGGAGAATAAAGCGCAAAGTCTCGTTAAAATGTGGCTGGACATGAAATCAAAAGACTCGTTCAACGATGCTGCATTCCTCGGGAAACAGATATTCATAAATCTATTTATTAAATACAATACTGCTATACCCTCAAGCGCTGCAGTTGAACGTTTGTTTTCCACGGGTAAAGACATTTTGACACCAAAACGAGCCACGCTTTCAGACAAGAACTTCAACATGTTAATGTTCATGAAGGGGATAAATGCACCTTATGCCCGACGCTTAACCCGTCGCGCTTTTTCCTATTTTTCGCAAAAAAAACTCTTTCCCTTTATTTAGAAAATTAGTTGTTATTGGTATTTAGCCTTGAGGCAAGTTACATGAACTTCCCTATATGTGTAAATAATCGACTTAATCAATAAAATATGAATTAATTTATAAGTGATTAAAAGTATTCCGAGTGGATTTTTTACACATAATTGAAAGCGAACGAATACGTTAACTCGTAGTATTTTCTAAAAGCAAATTTTCACTAATCAATAATTTTTATAATTGAACCAGTTTTCGTAGAATGTTAACGGTTTAGTATGTTTATTAAGACCAAGTAATCTATCGTTATACAAAGTAAATCATCTACTTTTAATTTTAACAAACGTCAACAAAACTACTCATTTTCTCAAACTTTGATGAATTTTTAAAATCAAACTACTTGTCGTAAGGCCGTAATATTTCGGTAAGTTTTATAAGACCATGATATACATCGCCAAAGAAAGTTTCATAACAATCGGCTTAAATTTTGTTATCAACAGTTAATTACAAGGAAACGGCTCGGTAGATTTTCATCTAAAACTAATCAGTATTATTCCCAACTAATATCTTTCGTACAGTTTTATATTTTTTAAAATTGATTCGGTAGAATGTGCTTAAATGTAGACGAAAAGTTTAATAATCTTTTTCAAATTACAAAGAAACGGCTCGGCAGATCGTCTCACAAAACTGACAAACTATTGTGCTCATTGAGATACATCGAATGGCTTTTAAATTTCTGAAATCGGTTCAGGCATTTTTGAGCAAACGTCGATGAAAAGTCTAATTTTAACAAATGCCAAAAAAACGATACCAATTTTTGCAAACTTTGACGAATTTTTAAAGCTAAACGAGTTGTCGCAGGGTGGTAATATTTTAGTATGATCTAGAAGACTATGATATCTACCGTCAAAAAATCATAAAAATCGTTGGATTTTTTTTAAAAAAAACTTCATTACAAGAAAATGGCTTGGCCGATCTTTATTTCAGAATCGATTCAGAATTGCGGGCTAAAACGTGGACGAAAAATTTTTCACTTTTCTGCTATTTTCAAAAAAACGGCTCGGCAGATCGTCGCACAAAACCGACAAACGATAATCCTCATCGAGATACATCGATTGGCTTTTAAATTTTTGAAATTGGTCGAATCGTTTTTGAGAGAACGTCGATTTACGGCAAAAAATCTGTTCACATACACGCACACACACACACACACATATACTTTTTCCAAACTTGGACTCATTCGATTCAGAATGGCTTGAAACGTCGAGAAAACATAAATTTAGCGAATCGGATTTTTTGATGAAAACATAAACTTCTCCTTCGGGAAGTTAAAAATTCTTGTAAAAACAATATGCAATCATAAAAACGGAAAGTTGACCAATAGCTTTATTATCACGGTGTGTGCATAAAGCGCGTCGCGAAATTATTTACCCTTCCCATCACCCTTGTCAGCAAAAGTAAGCAAAGCTCTTACCCCCTACTCCCATGCTTACGTAAACATTTTGCAATTAATGTAAAAAAATAAAAATACTACTTATGACGTAATCATCATCCAGACTCCCCTGCCCCCCATGTCAACCCAAAATAAGCAAATCAACAACCCTCCTTGCCACCCTATAGTGCTTACGTAATACTTGAACGGCCCTATATTAACGGATTAACGATTAACGTTAACTTGCGTTAATTCTTCCAAAATGTAACGCTTTAACGTTTAACGAAGCTAACTTTTTTTGTAGCGGATTAACGATTAACGAAGTTAACTATTTGATTAACGGTGCCCAGCTATGTATATATATATATATTTTATGTTTTTGTGACTTTTTTGTTTGTGAAGTATTTGTACTTTTTAACAAATTTTCTGTAGTCATTAAGTAATTAATGAGTCAGTTATTTCTGCTTAGTTTAGTTAAATACTTATGTGGTTTTCTCCACTTAGATCTTTACTTTTTGAGATATAATTTATTCATAATTATAATACTTATAATTATGTATAATAATTATTATATTTTTAAACATTCCATAACTGTAATTATAATTGTTAATATAAACATAATTTTAATTGTTTACTTATTGTTTACTTATCTATGTGTTTATCTATGAACAAAACAGTGCAACCATAGATAAACAAGTATAACACCGAGTGCAACGCTCGGAGATAACACCCCATGTTGAGAGCATCTCGGAGTTCATATTTAGTCTGGCGCTGCAGTCACACACATAGCGAATACACATCTGTCAAATTATATAAACAAAAAACATTACAATGCATAAAACTTGGTAATATTATTATTCAATGAAAAGAATAATGATGTGAAGTTTGAAATTGAAACGCGCTTAAATATTTTATTTTTATTAAACTCTAAAAGATTATACATTTCTTAAAATTTAAACTAAGAAATGCTAAACAACTAAACAATAAACATAAAATGCTAAAAGAATTTGGTAAGCTATTTTTTTATTATCTTATTCATTACCTTAGTTTATTTATTAGTTTCCTATGCTGTGTGTATTTTTATTTCACATGTTATATTCAATATACAAAAATCGTTTTCAAATTAATTTCAGCGTTTTTATTCTTGGTTGGTTTTCTTTGGGGAGCAACAAATCCTTTTATTAAAAAGAGCTCTGCTGTAATGAACAATATTAGTTTTGATTCTGTTTTCAAACAAATTTTTGTAATACTCAAATTCTATGTTACAAATTGGAAGGTAGGCAATGACTTATTACAATATATTTTAAAATATATCATTTAATAATTAAACTTTGCAGTGCACTCTTCCATTTTTCTTAAATCAATTTGGTGCATTAATCTATTTTGTTACACTTCAAGATTCTGATATGTCACTGGCCGTTCCTGTTACAAATGCTTTAGCTTTTATGTTCACAACCTTAGTAGGAAATCTTCTTGGCGAACAGGGGCCCAATAAAGGCATTAAATAATTTCACATACATTTCTAAGTATATCATTCATTATACACAACTCAACGAAATAATGGAATATTTTAAATAATAAGTAGTAATAATAAGAGCAAATTAAGACGATAATAACACTTACATTTTACATCTATTGCAATAAAAAGTTGAACTCAATAATAAACTATTGATCATTTTAATGATGTGAGAATACTTCTAGGTACGTATTTTGGAATGGCTGCAATACTAATAGGAGTGACATTATGTTTTCTAGATAAAACGTTGTTTAACCCAAATATGTTAGGTGCTCTAAACTGACATAAAGGATACTGTTGAAGTATGTTCAAGAAATGATCATCAATATCACATTAATATTAATAATTTATGTCAAAATGAATTTACATAAAAAAAATGTAGAATATTAAGCTGTACTATAAACAAATGTAAAATAGCTAATTAAAATTTAAATACATTGACCTTAGCAAATTTGTTATGTTAACCAGGACATACGAGCATACATTCAAGTACAAATAAACATTTTTATATATACTACCTGCATTCGAACACGCGTTGCAGTGCTGTACAAATGAACAAAGATCTAAACAAAAATTCAATTCTGTTACATCTAGTTATTAAGATGGAAAATAGCCCCCATACTCTTTGTTGTGCTGTATTAGATATATTATCAAGAGAAATAACCCATTCAGCATCCTAATATACATTGTAAGCTTATAAGCATATCAGCAATAATATACTGTGAAAAACAAACAACATTCATCTTATCATATGACATATAACAAACACCAACTATCAAAATATATTTAGTACATTTCCCAATTATCACCTAAACATATAAATGTTTTTCTTGGTATTTTTCTAAAATTTGTCATCTGTGTCCTTTTACACTATAGGGGAGAAACACATCAAATTTTCCTTAAAAAACTAAACTAGGAAAGTTTTAATAATTATGTACAAAGCTTAAATCTAAGATTAAAATTTAACAACTGATACACTTGCCGATGATATTGCTATTCTATCTTCAGATCCTGATCCAGTTGTAGCATTGAGATGGCTTCAGAGGCATCTAAGAGTCATTGAAGAATGGACTAGCAAATGGCGGATAAAAATCAATAACAATAAATCAAGTGATGTAATATTAACACTCAACAAATCTTCTTGCCCAGCAGTTCAATTTCATGATAAGACAATTACAGTTAAAAACTCAACAAGATATCTCAGGGTCGTATTAGATAGCAAACAAATATCATCCTTAGCTTTCAAAAATAGCTCTAGTAAAAAATAAAGCTAAGGAACTCTACTGGCTCATAGGCAGCAAATCAAAGTTACCTATTGAAAGTAAGCTACTAATATTTAAAACAATAATAAAGCCGATATGGACATACGGTGTGGAATTATGGGAATGTGCAAGAAAATCTCACATTGATTCAATTCAATTGATAAAAATAAATCGTATTTTTAACTTCCCGTATGGTAGTTATAGTAATGGGCCAAAAATCGAAAATGAAAATTTTTGCATTTCTCGACGTTTTGAAGGTTTCTGAACATTTTGGCATCAGAAAAAATGGATGTGTGTTTGTGTGTGTGTTTTGTATGTCCGCATTTTTTCGTCCACGTTTTCGGGCGCACGGATCAACCGATTTGAATGGTTCATAAAACATTCGATTCCTATTGATAGGGAGATTTGCTAATTAGTTTTTGGCAAAGGCAGGTCCAGCCTTATGGAGATACGGAGCAAAGAGTGCAGAAAATACAAATCGAGTTTTTGCGAGAACGGAGTATCCGATTTGAATGATCTAAAAAAACATTCAATTTGTCATAATTGGGAGAAGAGGTGAATAGTTTTTGGTAAAGGCAGGTCAAGCCATTTGAAAAATACAGAGCTAAATGTGCCAAAAAAGGCAGTTTTCGAGAGAACTAAGCGTCCGATTTGAATGATTCAAAGAACTTTCTGCTTGTTTCAACATAATAATTGCTTTTGAAAAAAAAAATTGTTTTGAAATTTTCTTTCCAAATTTTTTTTTGTATATTGAAATTAATTCAGATTTTAATTCTAATTCTGACTGAAGTTCTAATATAGTTTAAACAATTAATTTCAACTTCGCAATTCAGTTTATAGAATTCTTATAAATATTAGACAATGTTACAATATTTAACTTTCCCTATGGCAAGTAATAGTAATCGCAAAAAAATCGAAAATGGAAATTTTTATATATCTTTAGGTTTCAGAGGTTTCTGAACATTTTGGCATACATTAGAAAAAAATGGATGTATGTGTGTGTGTGTGCGGATACAAATTTTCTTCGATTTTGATAGTTCCGTGTGTTTTTCAATTTTGAATTATATAAAATTAAAATGAAAAAAATAAGTCATAAAATTTACATAAAAATATTACGGGTAAACAACCCCAAATAAAAATGAATAGTATTTTGATGTAGAAAGAGTAGTATGTATTTTATCACACCCGCAATAAAAAAATTCAAACTAGTGGGGTGTATGGCATCGTGCCTTAAGGGAAATTGCTGGAACTTCCCGTACCGTACCGAAATGTTCGAGTAATATTGAATGTTTTTAAATTGATTATTATAAATATTGTAAACATTGTCTAACATTTATAAGAATTATATAAATGAATTGCAAAGTTGAAAATATTTATTTAAATTATATTAGAATTTAAGTCAGAATTACAATTAAAATCTGAATTATTTTCGATATACAAAAAAAAATTTTTGAAAAAAAAATTGAAACAATTTTTTTTTTCTCCACAAGCAATTATTCTGTTAAAACAAGCAGAAAGTTCTTTGAATCATTCAAATCGGACACTTAGTTTTCTCAATGTGCCTAATCACCACTTCTCCCCGCCATTGCGAATTGAATGTTTTTTTGATCAAAAACTCGTTTTCTATTTTCTGCGTCCGAAAAAGTGGACGAAAAAATGCGGACATACAAAACACACACATACACACACATCCATTTTTTCGTGATAATGAGGTATGCCGAAATGTTCAGAAATCTTCAAAACGTCGAGAAATGCAAAAGTTTTCATTTTAGATTTTCGGCCCGTTACTATAACTACCCTACGGGAAGTTAACTATTTGGGTGCATAGCATCGTGCCTTAAGGCAAATTGCTAGAACTTCCCGTACCGTAATTAAAAATTAGAGAAATAAAAATAAGCAATAATTGTTTTGAATAATTTTAAATAGATTATCTTCTATATATATAAAAATAAGTCGAGTTTTCCTTCCAGAACGCACGAACCGATTTCGACAATTTTGCATTCGTTGGAAAGGTCTCGGGCTCCGCAAGGTTTATAGCTAAGAAAATTAGTTGTGCATGGCATTGTGCCTTAATGCAAACTGCTGGAACTTCACGCACCGTAATTAAAAATTCGAGTGATGACATTAGTGAGAATTATCAGAATTATGCTTGGTTAAGTCAACGAGCAATTCTTGCCGCAAAGAATAATGATGTACACGCACTGAATTTCACCATTCAATCAAAAATTGCTGGCGATTTGGTGACATACCAATGATTCTGACTGGTCTTCCGTTTGACTTCAAACGATTGCAATTTCCAGTTCGCTTTGCGTTCGCAATAACGAGTCGCAAGGCCTTATCTTAGTGTTTGCAAGATAATTCTCAAATAGATTATTTAGAAAATCATTGTTTTTCACATGGGCAGTTATACGTTGCCTGTTCACGAGATGGAAAACCATCTGCTTTGTTTGTGTTAACGTCAGACCAAAAAACAAAAAATGTGGTTTACCAAGAGAACTTGGAGAAATTCAACTAAAAAACACTTAACTTTTGTAATCGAAATAAATTCATTACTGTTGTATAATAAAATGATTTTTTTTCTTTTCAAATATAAAACAAACAAATAATTTCTTCATCTTTCTCACGAAACCATCTGGTGGCGAAACGGAGTTCGTCGGGTTTGCTAGTTTATTATAAATACGTACTGTAAAAATATTTTTTTTTAATTTCTTGAGAATTTGGAAATTTTTGAAAATATCCGATTTTACTTTGAAAATTTCGAAATATTTTCAAATTTTTGTAAGAAATCGTTTTTTCTTAAAATTTTGATGTTTTCAAAATTTTTTGAATTTTCGGATTTTTTTTTTGAAAATGAAACATTTCGAAAATTTAAGTTTTTTGAAACTTAATTTTTTTTAAAAAAACTTTCAAAACTACGAAATATTTTGTAAAACCATTTTTTGCACACCGTCTACACAAGCAAAAGGTTTTTTGAATTAATATAATTGGATGATCCGTTCTCTCAAAAATTGCATGACCATTTTTACATCTTTTGCGCTTGCAAGATATGCCTTTTGCAAAAAGGCCTCGAACCGAATGCTTTTTCAATCATACAAATCGGTTATTTCATACCGTCGAAAATGTCGAGGACATTTGTTTTGTTTTTTATAAATAAACTTCAATATTAAAAATCTTGGTACGGAACCCAAAAAAATTACACAAGATGTGTACACATTATTAAAATCTCTATATAAAATCTAATAATTTGTTATACATATTACCAATGAACATTTTTGACCGTCAAATGGCATTTTTTAACTTATTTTTATTGAGAGTCTGCAACCGCTGGACCTGCCTTTCCAAAAATTTGAACAGATTTCCGTTTACTCAATATAAATAAAATGTTTTTTTAACTTTCCGTCGGGTAAGTTATAGTAATCGCAAAAAAAATAAAAATGAAATTTTTTATATATCTTCACGTTGCAGAAGTTTCTGAACATTTTGGCATACCTTAGAAAAAATGTATGTATGTGTGTGTATGTTTGTGTGTGTGCGGATACAAATTTTCGTCGACGATTTTGGGAACACGGATCAACCGATTTGAATAATTCAAAAAACATTCGGTTGCTGTTCATAAGAAGTTTTTGGCATAAGCAGGTATAGCCGTTTCGATGATACGGGGCAAAAAGTGCCACAAACGGTAACTCAGTTTTTAAGAGAACGGCGCGCCCGGTTTTAATAATTTGTATTGACAAGATGAAGAATTGATTAAATTTTCAAGAAGGCAGGTGTAACGGTTTCGGGGATCTAGTAAAAAAAGTAAAA